GTGCCGCTCACCCAGTACCAGCGCGACTTCGGCGTGCGGACCGCGCGCGCGGGGACCAGGGATGAGCGCGTGCCCGGGCCGGGCGGCCGCAGGGGCCAATCTTCAGCGACCCCAGCCCGAGCGGTCTACGTACTACCCGTCGGGGACGCGGACGCAGCTGCTGTAGCGACCACGTCTTATAGGTGGGTATCTGGCTGTGACAGGGGAACGCTTAGAATCTCGACCCGTGTGGTGGGAGGAAACTGAGTCCCAAAGCGGGGTGGCGGAAGGGATGACATGTAGCCTGGATACTTACCACAGGATCTAAAGTGTGGCAGGGGAGCCTCTTGGTCATCTCTTTGGTCTTTTGACACTGCCGGCATGGCCTTGCCTTCTCAGTTGCTCCCTACCCTGGGATCCAAGGTGAATGGCACCTCAAAAGGGAGTCCCACCCCCATCCTCCATCCCCCCACCGTTGATCCTCCTTCCCTCTCAGATTGCTGCCCTTTAACTTGGGTGGGAGGAGCGCAGAGGGTTGCACACAGGTCAACCCCACAGAGCCCAAGGCCAGTGCACACTCCACAAAGGTCCTTTGCTCCCTTAGCAGCTCAGCTTTGGATAACTAAGGACTTCCTGCATCCTCTTTCTACTCAGAAGAGTAATGCATGCTCATACTGGGAAAATTAGAAATGACAAAAATAACAGATACCGCCCTTAACACCCTCACGCCACCCCTCCCAAACAGATGGATCTTTTCTAATTCTCAATGTACAAATGCATATGCACTCGGCTTCTTCCATGGTGCCATTCTTACTGGCACTTTGTTCAAAAGTCTTTGATATGTGTGTGTGTGTGTGTGTGTGTGAGAGAGAGAGAGAGAGAGACAGACAGACAGACAGACAGACAGACAGACAGACAGAGACTCTCCAGAGATGGAGGCAGAGACAAAGAGCAGCTCAAAGGACAACTTTAGGATTCCAGGGACCCAACTTGGGTGCCAGGTTGTGTCAGGCCTTCATCCTCTGAGCCATCTCTGGCACACATTACTGTTTTTTTTTTAAACCAGGTATGATATTTGACCATAAAAAGATATTCTGAATGTTAATAACTGTGCTGTATGTTAGCCTTTTCTTAGGTACGATATACATCCCAATTTTTTTTTTTTACTCATTTGGTATTCCTAGTTTAGGACTAAACATTACAGTTACAGGTGTTTAAATGCTTTTAGGAATTTTGTCGTTTACATTCCTTAAAAGTGGGATGGAAACTTGGGACTAAAAAGTACATGGGGGCTGGAGAGGACTCTCACCGATTAAGAGAGCACACTGCTCTTACAGAGGATGGGGGTTCAGTTCCAACACTCCAGCCAGGCATCCTGCAATGGCCTGTTAACTCCAGCTTCAAGGAGTACCAACACCTGGGGCATCCACACTCACTGCACACACCCACACACAGATGCATGCACATACACATACATAAAAATAAATTTTACAATTGAATGCAAATGGCACGTGGGTCACAGCCCCACTGTCCTAATACTGGGGAAGCACTAGTTATGGGACTGTCATAGGGTGGGATCCAGTGAAGCTCTTCAAGTACAGATCCTAAGTGTGTACATGCCAAAGAAGCAGAGCTAAGGACAGGCTCCCCATAAAGGCCGTGCTCTCTAAGGTACTTAATGGGCATGTGCAGTGCAGGGCAGGCCTTGTGCTGAGCTGTTAGAAGTTCGATGACACCGCTAGAGGCAAGGCAGACAGGGCCTTATGCTCTCAGCCCTAGCTGGAGTCTCCGATTGCTGAATCCACAGATGAGAGGTCTCACTGACTCATGGTTCTTCCAGTGGTCCCGAGTGTGCAGCACCTTGCAATGACTTGAAATTCTAGTGGTCAGACAATTGGTGGGGCTTGCAAAGGAAGAAAGGAAACCATCCTTTGATACCATTGAGCAGCTTGGAAATACTGGTGCAAGCCCCTCTTCGTGGGGAATATTCCAGGAAAGGATGGTTAGGAGAGGCTGGCTAATCCACATGGAGGGCAGATGAGGCCTGAATGTCTTGCAGGCCTCTAGGCTCTGTTGATGGCAAGGTGCTGTTCTCTCAGCATGCATGACTCCACTCTCTGTGGCCTCTGTCACTGCTGCCCCTCTCCAAATGAGGAACTGAGCTGGGATGCAAGGCTACATGACTCTGAACAGCATGGAAAGGCATGGGACTCCGGCACCAATTCTGTAGTTCCCCGCAGGCTCTCATTCTTTAACATGGGTTAGACAGCTGGTCTTGGGCCACCTCCTTGGAGCCAGTTTCTCAAAGCCAGCAGTGGAAAAGCACTGACAGATGGGGGCTGGCCTTACCAAGTGTACATTCTGTCTTTGGAACCCTTTCTTCCCCTGGAGTCGCAGAATAGCAAGATCCTGGCTATCAGTCCTCACTCCTTCCAAAGCCCAGGATCACACACTACTGGCTTTCCCCAGCACCAAATCATCTAGCCTCTGGGACCGCCAAAGGTAGTCTCTAAGACCAGGCTGGAGTAATCACATCCTATATTCCATCTTGTAAGATGTATTTCATTCAAGCAAATTGCTATAGGCACTCAGAAAACACATCCAGGGATCCTAAAGATACCAGAACAGGTCTGTGGTCACTCCTGACCATAAATGCCATGGACCCTCTGGCCTCCACCTCTCCCTGCTAACAGGTCCTGTTTCACTTGGCTGTTGGTCTTCCTGGAAGAACTGATCTGCCTTGTTTGTCTGGCCAGATGGGCATAGAAGTCCAATACAGGCAGCTTGGGGCTCTCAACCTTGCTAGTTCCTCCCAGAGTTTGGACCTTGCTTCCATAGTTTCTTCTAGGTTGGTCAGGTCCATGAAAGATGTGGGGAGGGGAAAAGACCTGTGTGTGGTGGCAGACGCTTTTAAACCCAGAACTTGGGAGGCTGAGGCAGGTGGATCTCTGAGAGGTCAAGGCCAGCTCTGGCTGCATAGCAAGTTCTAGGCCAGCCATAGATACGTATTGAAGCTTTTGTTTTAAAAAAGAAGCAACAAAAATTGGCTGATGCTTTTAAGGAGCATAGTGCAGTTTGCATTTTTTTTCTTAATTTTGGTGTAAGCTATAGTGCACCTTTCTCCTCCATGGGTAGCTCGGTTCTGATGAGTCCACTTCTGTCTCTGCTCTATTATGTCACAAGCACTCTGGAAACACCTCCTGCCACCACCCCAGGCACTGCTCTCGATCTTCCTGCTTTGAGCCCCCTGCTGCCACCCCAGGGCAGCTGACACAGAACTCAGAGGCTGCCTGGCACAGAACTCAGAGATAGTTGGGGACATTAGGGCATGCTCAGGGGGAGGTCCTGCCTTCCCAGGAGAACAAGAACAGCATATGTTCTTAGACAGCTGGTCTTTGGAACCTTGATGCTTCTGAAGCAAAAATTATGTGACAGGCCCTGGCTCAGCTCTTCCTGATACCCAAGACTCTTCAGTGTTGGCCACACAGACACCAGCTCCCCTTGCCCATGCCATCTGCCTGCCCAGCGAGGCGAGGTTCTGATGCTGCCAAGAAAAGACTCCTTTGTTGACTTCAGGGCAATAACTGGGCCAGTGTAGGGGGAGGACCTAGCACAGCCAGGCACTGGCCCTGGCTGGGTGAGCCCTATGACTATGGTCAGGGGGTGCGGGGGGGGGGAGGGGAGACTGCCTTCCTGAGTTTACCATTAAGTAGAGACACTGACAGAATAAAAAGGTCTGAGGACTCCAGGACTAGAGGAATTGAGCCTGAAATTTCAGTGAGAGGTATGGAGCTAGATTAGCCTGTCCTTTCCCTTCAGGGAAATGGCTCATGGGAGCTCATACTACAGACCAGCTTGGAAGTTTCTGTTTGTTTGTTTGTATTGTTACTGTAATTCTTTTAAAAAGCACATTTTATATTTTGGTTTACTCTTAAAAATCATATATTTGTGTGTGTGGAGGTGTTTGTCTGGTCAGAAGTGTGACAGGTCCCCTGGAGCTTGAGTGCCCGGTGATTGGGAGACTCTCAATGTGGGTGCTGGGCACTGAACTACCATCCTTTGCCAGAGGAGCATATGCGTGACCACTAAGTCATTCATCCTGCCCCATGATTTACCTTCACTTTTTTTACATTTATTGTGTGTGCATATATGCATATGTGGAAGTCAGAAGACCTGCGGGAGACAGTTCTTTACCTCCACCATGTGGGCCCTGGGAATTGAACTCAGGTTGTCAGATATGGTTGAGCCTTTTCCTCCAATTTGTAAGCGGATGTACCTTTACTGTGCTGGGCACTATCTAAGATGGCATTTCTTTTGCACCTAAGTGGGCACGAAGGAGGTGATAGCCTTTACTGGTTCTGGGCCCCCTCAGTGGCCTGGCATCCGGGACAGGCTCAGGTGTCAGGAGGGCTTTGAGAACTAGGGCTTGTCTGTCTCTAAGGCAAGTGGGGGTGGGGGTGGGGTGGGGGCAAATACCTGTACAACAATTTTCTGCCACTGCTTTCCCCAGCCTACATGGCTGAGGTTTCTTGGTGGAGCACTCAGAATGGTAGGGCAGGCCAGCCCCGAGCTACCTTACTGAGCTGGTCCATCGGCCTGGAGCACTTGGTGCTCCAGCTCTGCTTGTGCAGGAGGATAAAGGATCATTAGGAACCGAAGCAGGCCCAGGGAATGACTGACCCTGTGCAGGGTTATTGTGGGAATTGTCTGTTGCAGGCAGGAATTCCAAGCTTGGACTGGAGTGAAGCCCTCAAGATCCACAAAGGCCAGATCGGCCAGAGTCATCACAACGCACAGCTCTGGATGGGACCCCAATCCTGGGGCCAAGTTCCAGGTCAGCCTGAGGGTGGCACTTCTGGGTCAGGAGACAGATTCTGGGAGCATGAAATGGCATGGTGGTTAAGGACAACAGTGCCCAAACAACTGTACCTACCTGCTGGCTAGGTGGCTTCTCTGGCGCGCTCTGGTGAGTGCCAGAGTTCAATTCCCAGGGTCCCCTCTGCCCTCTCTAGAGAGAAGTGTCTGTCTGCCTCTTAAACCCCAGCATCTCCCCTGATAAACAGGGCTAGAGCCTTTCAAGGGTGAGAATGTAGTTCAGCAGTAGACTGTGTGCTTAGCCCCCACAAAGCCCCGAGTTCCAGCCTTAGCACAGTCCTGCTCCCTGCAAAAATACTAAAACCTAAGTGTCTTAGGCATAGCTCTGTGGTGCAGCAAGGCCATGCCACATGTGAAGCGTGGAGTCCCTTACTGTGACTGCAGGACTAGTTAGCATCTTCTCTCCAGCTAAAGGTCAAAGGGAGCTCATGTGACCCATCATAGTAGTGACAGCTCACTTGGTCAACTTCCACTACCAGCTCCTCCAAGGGGCAAGGAATTCTTTTCTCAGAGCCAGGGGTTGGGGCGAGTGGAGTTAAGAGTCCACTGATGTGGCCACACTTTTATTTTAGGTTCCAGAAGTGAGAAAATTCACACCCAACCCCTCAGCCATCTTTCAGACATCAGCTCCCCGGACTCTCAATGTGTGACCAGTGGAAACCGTGGAAACCGTGGCTGCTGGGAAAGCTGCGGAACACCTCCAGAAGGGGAACTGGCTTGGTTCTTTGCTGACTGGAGCAGCATGGCTGCCGGCTCTGCCTGTGGTGTGGAGTGGAGGCAGACGGCACACCGGTGAAGCACCACCAGCTGCACACGGCCTCTTCCCCCCCCGCCCCAAGCAGTGGGGGGAAGGAGACTTGATCTCCTTTTGGTTCCATTTGGCACCTTTCAATTTTTAATATGAGGTTCAATTCGGTTGTGACCTGAACTGCTCCAGACTGAAAAAATATGCATATATCAAGTCCTTGGTAGACCAGTTACCAACTTTGGGTGGTTTTCCCAAGATGCATGTTAATTTATTTGATAACCCTATGGTAGTCCCAGGCAGTTTTCTCATCTCTTTCTCCAGTGCCCCACATGCCTACATTAAGAAATCTTAGCCAGGCAGTGGTGACACATATCTTTAATCCCAGGGAGACAGAGGTAGGGAGATCTCTGTGATTTTAAGGCCAGCCTGGTCTACATAGTGAATCCCAGGACTGTCAGGGCTACACAGAGAAAACTTGTCTCAAAACAAATACACACGGGAAAAAAAACAAAACAAAACAAAAAACAACCTTAGGTTATCAGGAGTGATGCCTTTATTCCCAGCACTCTAGAGGCAGAGGTAAAAGCATCTCTATGAGCTCAATGCTAGCCTGGTCTACACAGCTAGACCAGTTCCGGGAGGGTTGGGGCTACATAGAAGGGCTGTGTTTCAAAAGAACAACAACAAAATCTTAAGTTTTTAAAAAATACATATAATCACCTGCACATGAGTCTCATGGCGGTAATATATACCCAGGTAGAAAATTTATATATACACATGTATCACAAATACACAGAGATGGAAATATATCTGTGTATATATGGAATACAGACACAGTGAAATATATCCAGGGAGGAGATCATCCACACGTTTTCAGTTTTCAGATGTAATTTCTTTATAGCCAAGATGATCATGTTTCTGGGAAAACACTCCCAGGATGAGTGAAATGTTGAAAGCATGAATAGTATTCACCCCGTATTTCTAGAGGCTGAGCCTTGGCCTACTAATTTCAGCTATCTCCCCTCAAGGACTGACTAGAAGGGATGTCATTCACATCTGTGAGGGGCTGGGAGCATACCTGGAGAGCATCCCCTACAGGCACCTTGACCCTCCTGCCTGCTGACTCCTCAACTCTGGATAGGTACTCACTACCCCATTGTGGGGACAACTCCTTCTGCCTTTGGAAAACTCGTCTTCACAGGTTTCAGCCAGAATGGCTGTGTGGAACAAGCCCAGTTTCCTTTGCAGAACCATCTCTCGAACACTAGAAAAAGACGATGTCTCAAAGGCTTGGCAGTGTTTGGTAAGAACTGTAAAGGTTCGCTTCAAAGCCAAGGCAGGGGAGGCAGCTCAGGCCTCCCACACAGCATCCCCCGCCTCCCTCTTGCCAGCCCAGGAAATGCTGCTGAATCATTCTGAAGGGAAAATTGAAACCACATGAATATACCAAGGGTCCCATTACTCTACATTTGTCAGTTTGCATGCTCAGTGTATCTGAGAAGGAAGAGATGGCCTGCTAGGTAGCTAAATGTAGGCAATGAGCAGATTAACAATTTACTAAAATGCAAAAATGTGCTGGGCTTAAGTTGTAAACTCAAGTATATTTTCCCCAATCATCTGGTCTCTCAGTAACGACTTTAATGTAGCGTGACTTTGCTAATATCCTTGACAATTAGAAACTCCAAGTCCTTCTTTTGAGGGCTGTAGTTGCAGTGGTACATAACCTTCATCCCACTTCAGCTCTCCTGCACCCTTAAATGAAAAAGGGACCATCTGTGCCACTGCTGCTTCCGCACTAGCTGGGACAACGGGAGCTTCAATTTCTGCATCTGAAAGTGAGGTTGCTACTGCCTACACCTTGCTTGGCTTGCTAGAAATATCCAATTCTTAACACAGTGAAGTCAGCCAAGCATAGGTCCTGAATTGTCCTTCCCTGCTTAACTCTCTTCCAGGTGCTTCTTGGTCCTGCTGTAGCCAGGCCCGCCCCAACTAAGAGTCTGCCAGTGACCATACGTCATGCCCAGCAACCCCCCACTCCCACTCCATACATTCATTCTCTTGGTGTGAGATGTACAACTTTGCTGCATTTGGCAAGCATAAAACACACTTGTCCCTTTCCGGCACTGTAGCACTGCAGTGGTCATGGAGTGAAGCTGACCTCTGCTAGGTCACAAGTTGTTTAGAACCTCAGCAATGTGCCACATAGCTCTTCCCACCAACCTTCATTTAAGCATGAAAACCTACTCGTAAGAAGTCCCTCCTCATTCAAAGCTCCATGGATAACCCAAGAGGCAACTAAGACAAGTAGCAGTCATGTTCTTAGTCCTGAGTCTATCCATACACACAATGTGCACAAAGACCAGAGAGATGCACTGGAGGGTCAGCAGGGTTCATTTCTAAGGAGTGTGTTCCAGTATGTGTGGATACATGTGTGTGTTTCACTCTGTGCAGGTATGCATGTTTCAGTATATGAGGATATGTCAATGTGTTCCTGTACATGCAGGTACATATGTGAGGATGCATATGTGTGTTCATGTATGTGCAAGGTACACATGTAGAGAACAGGACACCCAAAATGTTTTTCAGGTATCTTTCCCTTTTCTCATTGGTCTGGAGGTCACCAAGTAGGCTAGGTTGGCTCTATAGCAGGCCTCAAGGGGTCTGCCTCTGTCTCTTCAGTGTTAGGATTCTAAGTGTGCACCACCATGTCTACCTTTTTTATGTGGGTTCTAGTGACTGAACTCAGGTACTGCACACACTTCATCAACTGAGCCACCTCTCCAGCCCTAATTTTTAAAAATACTTTATCATACCTGCTAAAATTACTATAAAATTTAATGATTTTTATATTCTGTAAGTTTTTGAAAAATAAAGAGCAGTTTAATCTGTTAATTTGAGCAGAGTGTTCAATACTAATTATCCCATAACCACAGTGACCAATCTGAAAACTGCCTCAATCAGCTGTCTGTACATTATGAGGCCGACTAAAGCGGAAGCCCTCCAAGTTCTTTCACATGCTCAAGTCTTACCTCACTATGCTGTACAGGACAGAACTCCAAGACTCCAGGCTTCTGTTGGATGGAATATGCCACTCACCTGAGGCCCAGGGAGGGGCTGTCAGCACCCACCCTGACCTATGCCCCAGCTAACCTTACTCTCCGGGGTTCTGCTTTTTCACTGGCTCTCTGTGACGTTGCTTCCCAGCAGGCTACCTCTGTGGACTGTATTCCTAGGCCTCTTTGTAGAAATTCCCTTCAAAAGCCACAGACTTCAGAGCCTTTAGTTTTGCAGTGTCTTCGCCTTTCGGTAATTTTTTAAAAGCCAGAATACCAGATGACAATACAAGGGCCGTCATAGGAGTGGCTTTCAGACCTCAGCACAGACCAACCTTAACTCAGTGATAAACCAGTTTATTTGACTATCTCTTTTTTAATTTTTTATTTTTTTTGCAAAATTGAACCCGTTCATGAATCTTCCTTAAATTGCTTGTATGAAATGATTATGTTCATGGTCACCAAGCAAAGTGTCTTCTGTTTTATATGGGACCTAAATGTATCTGTGATCCTTTTATATTACATGGTTGCAGAACTTTTTTGAAGGAAGAAGATAGTAATTTAAATTCACAAGATCCATACCATGGTCAAATCCCAATGAGCCCTCCAAGTATGGCGCTTCCAGCTCAGAAAACACATCACAAATACTAAAAGTTTTATTGTAGACAAAATGATACACAATTATGTTACACATTATAATAGAAAAACACTTGAAACATTAACATACACAGAGACTCTTAAATCATTTGCTATTTCTTTATCAAAAAGCAAATTCTTTAGGTTTTCATCACAACAAATGAATCTGCTCTCATCTGAATAACCTACCAAGTAGGTCTCCGTCCACTTCTAAAGAAATCTGTGTGTGGGCCTATCAATCTGCTGGGTGGTCTCCAGACCAAATTCTTAAGGCTTATATACCAAGTCTTCCGTTAAGCCATGCTTGTCCTATTCCTGCTGGAAAGATCCCTTCTGTACCTGCAGCTCTCAGTCATATTTCACCCAGCTACCTTCCCGCTGTTTCCTGACTCACACACCAATCTACGGGACTGGGAGAACAGATTTTCTGTTGCTTACCTAAAGTGTCTTTGACTTTGACTCAGATCTTTCAAGTTTGCTTTGAGCAGAGTAAGAGAATGTTTCCAACTGAAACTAAGGTCTTTCCTTTGCCTCCACAAGAGTGACTAGGACTGGAGAGGCCCTAGCGTCCACAGACTCCAATCTGCCCCTCACAGAGCGACTCTGTTCCTAAGTACTGGCACACTGGGTCAGAGCAGTTCTCGCCCACAGTAAGGCACTCACAGGTGTTTCAACCCTTTTCATCTCAATAAGACTCTTTGGCAGAGAAGGACAGGACCCTAGGTCCACCAAGGGGACAATCCCAGGAAGGTTTGCCCTGAGGCTGCCTCCCCAGCCCCTGGACATGCGGCAGCAGGAAAAGCTTCTGCAGCCATCATGGATATGAGGACCCAGTGCTCATATTACCACAGGCCAAGTGCCTGACTCTGTGGATGATGCTCACACCAACAGTGATAGTTTCCTTGGTCTCATGAGCACAGGCTTGCTGCCTTCTGATCTCTGCTGGGACTCTCAGCACTGCTTTGACACTGGCTGTCACAGAAGCACTGGCACCGGGGTCCCATGACAAAGTCTCAGTCTGAAGCCTCTTGACTTTCCACATGGCATATTACTCCTTCCATAGCTGACTCACACTGGCCAAGAGTGCAGCCTTTCCACACTGCAGCCAAGGTAGAAGGTATGTCCTTGCTGTTCTTCTTTAGATTACCCTAGACCAGCGTGTCAGATATATCTCCACCTTCTGGAAAGTAGGCCCCATGTGAACCCAAGCACACCCCAAAGAGGGAGCACCTTGTGTATGTGCCTTGTCTCACACTAAGGCCCTCCAGAGCCTGTACGGAGTAAAGAAATACAAGCTGACAGAGTTGTGTCCATTCAGCTGCCCTCCAGAACTGGGAAAGAACTGTCTTCAAAGGGCTGCACCTGGGAGTCAACGCCCTTGTGATACACGCAGTTACACAGAAGGAATAGTACGGTAGCCATGGCATTCTAACGCACAGAAAACCACCTTTCCCCAGACACAAGCGTCACCAGTCTTCAGACTTCAGATACAGCTTCCCATCTTCACTGTATTCACTGGTCCTCGTTCAGTCTCCCCATGTGTTTGTTTGTGAGAAAATCCAGAAAAGGAATGTTGCAAATGGCCTGGTGAATATTACTCACTGTGATTTCTTTGGGAACCCTAGTCCAAAAGACCCAAAAGTATAATTAGGTATAAAGTGTCAAATGCATTCAATAATCATTTAG